GACAAGTTTATCCAAATATTCTGGAAGTACTTCATACACAAGAAACACCAACAGATAAGAGTAAAGTGCAGATAAAAATAAAATAGTGAATTATATTAAACATATAAAAGACTGGATTAAGAAATATTACAAAGATATCTTAGTATTCTGTACCACAATTTCATTTGCCTGGGTTTTGACATATCGAATAGTGCCGCCCCCTGCCACATTACTAATGCTCACCCGAATATTGACGACTGAAAGTGATTTTCAATATAGTTATAAAGGAATATCTCAGATTTCACCACATATACAAGTGTGTGCAATGGCATCTGAAGATCAAAATTTGCCATTTCATAGTGGTATGGACATAGAAGCCATAAGAAAAGCTGCAGCTGTAAATAAAAAAGGTAAAAAGGTATTCGGGGCAAGTACTATCAGTCAACAAGTAGCTAAAAATGTCTTCCTATTTCCTCAAAGATCCTATATTCGCAAAGCTTTGGAGCTATATTTCACCATGGTCATTGAAACATTATGGTCCAAGGAAAAAATACTCGAAACATATCTGAATGTGGCTGAAATGGGTAATCTTATATTCGGAGTCGAAAAGGCAGCTCAGGTTTACTACAATAAATCAGGAGCAGTGCTAAATGTGAGAGAGTCTGCTGCCATTATTTCTGTCTTGCCAAGTCCAAGAAGATATAATGTTAAAAATCCCGGAAAATATGTGGTAGCCAGACAGCGAGAAATAGCTGACCTCTATTATTCATTGGACGGAATTCGATATCTCAGAGAACTCTATGTAAAAGCGGACAAATCACTTTACGATTTCAGAAATTATAGGAAATAGGTAATTGTTTAGGTTGCCTATACAATTCAATTTAAAGGCATCATTTTTTTAACAATTGTGGTTTTTTCAAGGGGTTTATACCTCTTTGAGGACTGCACTTTTCCCTTTAAACAAAGGTTTTACTTTAATAAATAAAAAAATAGAAATGTAACAATAGTTTCTTTAACTTATATCCTTCTCGTTTTTTTAAGTAATGATATTTAAGAGGATGTTTAAACTTCATAATATAAACGACATAGTTTTTGAGAATAAAATTTTAGGAATAGGTATCCGTTTTGTACCTTTGTACAAAAATAAGATGGGGTTTCAGGAGCCGGTATTTCAAAGATCCCATCAAGTATCAGAAGAGTAAATTATACCCAATACCATTAACATATATTGAAAAATGACAGAACAGTTTAAAAAATTAAGCAAGCACGAGTGGGAGTTATTAGTTGATGCAATACCATTAATTGGGATACTGATTGCCGGAGCTGACGGAGAGATAGATGAGGAAGAGATGGATTGGTCAAAAAAGATTACCCATATCAGAAGCTATAAAATGAAGGGTAGTGTAAAGTCATATTATGAAGAAGTGGACAGGGATTTTGAAACAAAACTTATGCACTATTCTGAAGTTTTACCTTCAGGTGTTGAAGAACGTACAGAAATAATTTCTGAAAAACTTCGTCATCTGAACCCTATCTTAGCAAAGTTGGATTCAGATCTTTCATATAAATTGTATAAGGGATTTTTAAGTTTTGCTGATCATGTGGCCAAAGCATCGGGCGGAGTGATGGGCTTTTTTGCCGTCAATAAGGAAGAAGCAAAACTATTAAGCCTGCCAATGCTTAATCCTATCTTTTTTGATGGTACAGAAGAAGAATAATTAATTAATGGATTACTTTTAGGTTTATTGTAATAGGATTTTCAGATAATTAATACAATAGGCCTATCCCATTTTTTCATTCAGTTGTTACAAAATTCATTTTGTCTCTCTTAAGGATGGGTAAAACAAAAGGAATTTTTATTGAAATGCAATTTCGGCATACATCCCTATCTGCTTTTTTTCTTCCCGCTATTTCTGAAATCTTTAAATGATTTATTTGACTTATTTGTTTTTGGCTTAAACTTCTCAGATTTTATTTCTTGTTTGATTTTTTTAGGGGATATTTTCAAATTTGGGTCAATGTTCAAGAGGGGATAAATATCTTGCTGTGTCATTGAAATAAACTTCCCTGGCGTAAGCTTACCGATTTTAAGGCTTTCTATCTGTACTCTGACTAAGCGTAATACTGGAAAACCTACGAAAGCAAACATCTTTCTGACCTGACGGTTTTTTCCTTCTGTGATTTCTATCAAAGCCCAGGAGTCAGGAATACTGGCTCTGAATCTTACCGGAGGATCTCTATCCGGTAGCACTGGTGGTTTAGGTAGTTTTTTAACAGTGCAGGGTAGGGTGCGGTACATACCCTTTTCCAGTTTGATATCTACACCTTTACTGAGTATGGCGATGGCCTTTTCGTCTATTTCATTTTCAACCTGAACGATGTAGGTCTTCTTATGTTTTTTGGATGGATTCAGAAGTTGGTCGTTCAGTGATTTGTCGTTCGTCAGCACGAGAAGGCCTTCAGAGTCTTTGTCCAATCTTCCTACGGGATAGACATCTTTTTCAATATTCAAAAAATCAGAAAGCGTTTGATGGTTTTCTCTTTCCTTTGTAAACTGAGTGAGAACATTATATGGTTTGTAAAATACATAATAAATAAAATCCATAGTCAATAATTATGTATTTGTATTGATGGTTAAAGTAATTCCAATGTACATTTATACATTAAATCTAAAATGCATGACATCTCCGTCTTCTACCACATATTCTTTGCCTTCGACACCCATTTTGCCGGCTTCTTTCACTGCATGCTCTGAACCATACTTTACATACACATCGTATTTTATAACTTCGGCCCTGATGAATCCTTTTTCGAAATCGGTGTGTATGACTCCTGCCGCTTGAGGTGCTTTCCATCCTTTTACGATAGTCCAGGCCCTGACTTCTTTTACTCCTGCTGTGAAATATGTATATAAATTCAATAGCTTATAGGCAGCTCTGATGATTCTGTTGACTCCGGCTTCATGCAGACCCATCGCTTCTATAAATTCCATTCGTTCTTCCTTGCTTTCCAGCTCTGCAATCTCAGCTTCTATTCCTGCACATATGAGCAATACTTCAGCATTTTCATTTTTTACCGCATCCATAAATCGCTGGGTATGAACATTTCCTTCGATCACAGAAGCTTCATCAACATTACAAACATAAAGGATGGGTTTGCTGGTAAGAAGATATAAATCCTTATATAGCGCATCAAAATGCTCATCGACTTCAAAACTACGGGCAGGTTTTTCGCTCTCGAGATGTTTAAGCAGCTTTTCTGCCCACTCAACATTAATTGCATCGTCTTTAGTACCTGATTTTGCCTGTTTTTTTAGCTTATCAATCCGTTTTTCCATTGTTTCGATGTCCTTAAAGATGAGTT